TACCTTATAAAGTGTTTTACATTATGTATGATTCAGGTACTACTTGGTATTCATGTACATGTATTCAGTACAGAGGTGATGCTCTAGGTGTGAGATGGCCAGTTTAATTTGGAACACTCATTTTTTGGGAGGAGACCTTGTCTTTTGTTCCTTATAGATGATTTGATATGTACCGGTACTTTATTTTATTCCACATCCTCCACATTGAATTACTGTGTACATGTATTTAATTTTCATCATTTCTTTTTGTTTTGATCGATAGGTTTGTGCCTGATTGGTCACTCGAGTAATCCACTTGTGGCACTGTGTTGGTTTGTTATCACATTTCCATTTTTTTCATTTTTTTTTACTTTGTCCTGACCTTCCAAATAAATCAAGACCCAGTCTTCCTGAACCAGGTGTCTTCAGATCTTTTTACTTTCCCAAAGTCTTGTGTATTAAGTCGGGGCAAATTTCCAGGTTACACTAGCGCCAGTGCTGCTGGCCAGGGCCGTTTCACAAAAATTCGTATAATTTTTCTCATACTCAATAATTAAGGTGATAACATTTACGGACAGGAAAACTAATAAAAAACACATTTTGTGGGCCCTTTCGGGAAATTTTTTCCAAGTTGAAAGAGGTTGGATTTTTGTTTGTGTTCCTGGTTTCCATTATACTGAATTCTGAATTAAAAACTTCTATGAATTAAAATGAGTCGGTAAGACATTTTTGTCGATTTTTAAATCGTTATTTTCTAGATTTAAACAGAATCCAAACTGAAACCGATCTGAGCTCAAATCGGATCTCACTTACCTTATACTTTACCTCGTTGGATCTCTAATAATAATAATAGTCAGTCCTTACATAGCGCAATGTCTCTACGGGCTTATTATCGTTGACTCTATGGCTCAACCCGACCCAACAGGGTAGGTATTAGTTCAAATGGGCTTCGGGGGCTTCAGAGGCGTTCCTTCACCGGTCTTGTCGTACAAAAACGACGTAAACTCTGTTTACTAACCACTCTTCCCTGCTTTGTAGTTGATATGCCCCATCCTGTGACTTTGTAATCTTACCGCATATTTTTCAAAGAAAAACAAAGCATTGTGTGATTTCCTATATTAGACGGCTCATGTGTATATAACAATCTGGTAAAGTAAAGAAAAGATCCCACACAGTAAAAAAGAGCAAAACGTTCTGAAATAAAATGTCACTGATGTCTGTGTTGCAGATTGAAAACTGCCGAAACCAGTCGAAATGGAGCGCCCTTCACACGTGACATTATGCCTAGTGGCAGTATACATGTACCTACAGGTTTGTTGTAAGTATTCATTGCATGACTCTATCTAAAAGAAAACGTGCCATTGTGAATCTTTTCTGAAGGTGGGAGACAGTTAGACACATGGATTCGCTATTTACAAAAGAACAGTTTCCCCTCAAGAAAATTAATGACTAAGTAACTGGTATACCAAGAGTATATGCATCAGCAAGATTGAAACTGCATCTTTTATTTGGTATACTATTTATGTCTCTTTAATTCCGTAAAACTTTACGAATCACCAAGTTTGATGGATTTCTAGTCACTTGATTTAGCAAACGCTGTGAACAATCCACAGAGATGCGCCCAACAGTGGAAGAGGCATGCAATATGACCCCGTCCCAACTTTCTGATGAACGTAACAGAAAAATGTCAATAATGCCATCCTCAACGGCGATTAATCCAAGAGTATTAAGGGTGTAAAGAGCTCCTGAGCTCAAAATTTAAGATGAAAATTAGCATACAGACGACATGTAATAGATGTACATGATTTTGTGTATATTTTATCACCTTCATATTTAACCACGCGACCCGACCTCCTTTGAATTTCTTGCCTCTAAAAATCATCAGCTGCAGTATAACGTACAGTAATCTGCGTTTAGTTCTTACCTGTTTTACATCAATAGTGTTCAGCAAATAATTCGAGTAAAGATTTGACTCCTAATTCGCTTTCGTTAAAAAGTCATTCTTTTTTCATCTTGTAATTGAAGCATTCACGCAAACAGACAACAAGGAAATTATTTTCTTAGAACGAGGCCACCGTGGGGTCGTACCTTGTCCCCCCATCACATCTGGCAAGTACACACCTGGAGACATTGTCGCCATGTATTGGTACTACGGAACAACAAGCAGCACGGCCCTGCTGATCTCGTACTTCAGGGGACGAGTTGCTCCTCAGAACGGCATACCATACGGCATCTATGATATCGACAGTGAGTTCTCTCTAGTCACTGAGAACGTCACTGCCAAAGACGAGGGAATTTATCACTTTATGTTGAAGCCTCGATTGCAAATGGTTGAGGAAGGACAAGTAGAAGTTTGTGACAAGGGTGAGTGCTCTGTGCTGTAAATCTGAATCACTCTTTTTTGCCTGCAATATACGGCTTAACACACGCACATAAATAAACGTCTAGCACGTGTTGGTTTTAACTTAAGGCAGCTTGCTAGGGCAGCTGAATAAACGTGACATTTTAGCATGTGGCCATGTCTGACTGTTCCAAAACAGAACTTTAGTCTAATTGCAAAATATTATTAGGTATGAAGACGTTTGAAGTTAATGGATAATGGTACACTGGCGGTGTTTTGCAACACCGTCCTTGTCTCGGCTATTTTCACCATTCCAGTTTTGCATTCATGATCAGGATTCACGGCCCAATTTTCATTTGTAATCCATTTAGGCCTACCATCCTTATTTTTCTTCCATCAGCACCCAGTTTTTCTCTCCGAGTTTTCAGCATTTCACCTCAACTCCTCTCCCCCTTTATGGCAACTGCATTTTGTTCACCCTGTCTTTCGTATTTGTTCCAAAGAAAGCTTTCCATAAATATTAAGCTTTTTTTTCACCTCTGCTGATTACTAAGTTTCCCCAAGGCAGACATATCCTACGGTCGTTGGATGCAAACCAAGCGCATCAGATGCAAACCAGTGTGAGGTTCCTATAGACCAAACCATTGCGGAGCACAGCCTGACGTGTGTCATGGATCAGGTCAAACCTGCCGTGGAGCTGAGGTGGAGACGTCTGTATTTAGGCGGATCCACGGCACTCAACGCTTCCCTAACGGTCAAGCCTATAGTTCTAGCAGCCGGCACAGGTACGTCGTATCGCTCCAACAATGCTGTTAAACTGTTTTATGTTGCCTTTGATAGCACTGCATTTTGCCTATGAACTTTGTCTGTTACCGTCTGGTTTTCCTGGTATCTCTCCATCAGGTTTGTCGTTGAGAAACAACACGTACTCGACTTCGGCATCCATCCAAGTAAACGATGTCAGCGATGATGCAGTCTATGAGTGTGAGGCAGTGGGTGTTGCTGTGGGCAGCGGCAGTCGCATGAGAGTACATTTTGCTAAGACTATCCACACCACAGAGGTGTATGATAACAAGTGGCCATCTGTTGATGCTGGGCAGCCAATGTCATCGCAGAGTCCCCGCGACAAAGGTGCTCAAGTTAGATAGTTGAAGAAAATTGAAAATTTAAAGTTGTTGAAATGACCTGACAACAAACAATGCACAAATTAAGCGAAACGAGCGGACTGCATGAACTAGTTTTAGACCCGGTATGTCAGAGATTTTGCTAACTACGATGAGGATAATGCATGTGAGAGCTTGAATCATATGATGAATTATTCATGACTGTAAAACAAGTTTAATATGTCAAGAATGCCGAAAGGATAATCATTTTGTCTTCCTTTGATCAGGGTTCAATCACTGATCATTTCAAACATGAGTCCCTATTTTAGAATTGAAGCTGTGTTTAAATATCAAGATGAGAAAAATAACAAGTATATGTTAAACTGAAGCTGGTTTGACTGTTTCCACAGACTCAACACCTGCTTTGGGTCATGACGTTTCGACAACCAAACCCAAACCAGGAGGAAACACAGTTGGCCTGATTTTCTTGGTGGTTGTGTTTCCCATCTCAGTCATCGTACATGTCATCTTGATCCTTTACATTGTAAGTACATATATGTAATGGAATTATTATCCACGTGAAATGGCGATAACAAGTTCGATCACGCTCTCCTTAAAAATATGAAATCCAGTTGCTTGATTCCTTCTGCCTTTGGAGGCATTATGAGATCATTACGGGAAAATAAATCAAACATATGCCCACAGCACAGCAAACCAGTCCGAAACTACCTTGAAGATCTCTGACTGATTATGAGAACGTGATACTCTTTCATGCTTATTTTGTCCATACTGGTGCGAAATCTGCCCACTTTTATAAGTGGTTATTTTCTATTTCTTACGCAGATACATCTAAGGAGGCTTTTAAGAAAGCTGATAGACAAACGCAGGATACATCAAAGATTGCCATGAAGGAATCGATACTCGAGCTGGAACTCGAGCTATCGGAGACTCTTGGCAACAAATGCAGTTGATGATGGTGCAGGAACTTTCACAACTTTACATATATACTTACACTTTCAAAGTACTTGGTTCCTTTTTGAAAAGAAAAATCTTCCTATGTGTTCATAGTTATATGAAGGAAAATCACATCGATGTGTGAGGCAGATGTAGCAATAAGAATAAGAATTCTGTCTGCTTTACAAGAGGATGCACAGTGGAGAAGAACGGTGTCAACCTGTACATCCTTCAGCCCCCCCCCCCACCCAACGAAAAGAAGTAAAACAAAAGAGTCATAGCTAGTATTATAACAATAATTTACTCACCATAACCGAATAAAAAAAGCCTGAAAAGCGATTCAAGTGTAACTATAGAGGCTTATACAGCACACCCCTGTCAGTAGCATCTCCTTGCGTCGAAAGATGGCATGTTTCACTCATACCATAGGCCCCAATTTCTGTTTTTAACACGAGTTTTATTATTTAATTTTCAGTATATCATAGTAGCATTGCATTACGCACGTTTAAAGTAAGATTTAACACATATCATTGTAGTACTTTCATCCAGGAACTCTCTTACGTAGCTTCACTTCAAAAATACCAGGATTTTGGACGTATAGCTTTTGTGAAACCTTAAACGCAAGCATGCTCTGCATAATAAAGAAGTGTAAAGAGGGAAATTAACAAAACAAGGGTTTCCTGTATTATTTCTTAAAATAAGAATAAATACCATATAAAATCTAAAAATAAAATATTTACATGTCAGTTATCACATATCATCAATAGTTTCTCAAGAAGGAAATGATTCACATTCAATGGAACTGTAAACAGGAGACGATCCATTTTTAACCCCTTACGTAGTTTCCGAACTTTGTGTGATCAGTGCTCATGTACTTCGAAAATAATTCTGGAAATCCCAATTGGGAAGTCCAATTTCCAAGTAACGGAATACAGCTTCATACTGAGTTTGAACGTACTGAGCTTGCACATCGCTGTCCGTCCTCTCTAAAGTCCAACAACATTTCTGTGAGTACACCTGCATATTGATTAAAATTTTTAAAAAATTCTTAGTAGTTCTCTTTACTGTAACTAACCTAGCCGTGAAACGTGCAACTTACAAAAAAAGTCAGTTATTTGCTCGTATCTCAACCAGATAACCTGCTAATCGGCACGAGACTCTAACTAGCAGTCGTCCTTGTTGTCCAATGTGATTACACTGTTGGCATAGTTTTTAAAAGACGAAGGCGTTCTGCCTTTTGATTTGTTCCCCATAACATAGTAAAATAAATTATCCTAAATTATAAACCTAAATTATAAGCTATGAAATCAGACATCTATCTTGTTTGTTTGTGGGTTTGGTTTGATTTATTTTTTTTTCATTTTCCAGCAGAATCACTTGAATTTTTTTCTTTTGGAGATTTGGTTTCTTCAATACTTGACAGAAAGTTTGACGAAACAAATAGAGAATGAATATTGTGTTGTGGCTGCCAGCTCTGGTGTTATGCAGTAAGAAATCCTATTTACAAACTTCATTTTTCACGGGGTTATGAGTCATCTGCAGTTAATGCACACAAAATAATTTACAAAGGAATTTCGGAGACAATACTCGGTCATTAAGTCAAGATATGATTTTTCAAATTTGAAAAAAAGATGGATTTCAGTGTTTTTTTTTTAGTAAAAACCATAGTTATTACCTTGAAATAAGGCTACCGAATGCAGGAAATGAGACCTTCCTGTTGGTCGCCCATCTGTTTATCGCAAAGAGTATACCATAGAATTATAGTATAATTCCTGTTTATTCATAAAGCAAACTTTCACAGGGATCATTTTCACCTTTGGCAGCTGTCAGACTAATCTGAATTCTTGTCATTTCCCAAAACCGAGAAAATATTGCAAAATAAACGTTTTAAAACTAACATAATATCGAACTTCATATTCTTCTAGTGAAATGCTTTTTTATGACAAAGTTATTTCCAACACATGCATGCTTCAACACCTTGTGCCAAAACGGCGAACTGTTCCACCGAACTCCGTCCTAAAACAAGACTTCGAATCAAATATGACGCATCATTGAGTGCAGTCTTGGAAAAAAGCCAGCAGCTGCATGTTCTGCTCTTCATTTCGGTCTGTTTTCAGCTAGACGTGTACTCTCGAAAAGTTTTCACCGAACACTTTAGCCCCCTTGCTGAATTTTGAAAGAAATGACTGTCAAGAACAGTGGCTTTGCGCGTACAGTAGCAATCACATTGTTCACCACCTCTAAAGGGACCGCTGTAAATAACCAATGACGGAGTTACTATAGAATTAAGCCTATCTAGAGAATATGTCACTGACATTGATCCTGCCCTTATCACCCATGTTCCATATCATGCACTTGAAGCCTAACCTTTTCCTTGTTTTATATCATGCGATTCCCTTGTAACTGCAATCTTTATTAATTTTAAAATCAGGACAAATGAAAACTACGATCCAAAATAGTATAAATGAGTCAGCGGTTGTCTTGTCCGTGTTACAGGTTGAAAAATCTGTTGAGACTACTCAAAATGGATAGTGCTGTGATATTATGCCTGATGATATCATTCCTCTGTTGTTGCTGTAAGTATTTCTCAAATGTAGATACATAAAAACGATAAACACTACTGTTCATAACGGAGAAGCAAAACAATTTCCTTTCAAAAACTTCACTTATTCCAAACGAGAATGCGGTAGGGGCAGTTATAACAGATTAGGTCCATCATAGATAAATAACAGGGACAAACGGGACTTGAACAACATCAGGGCCTTGTCAAATGTGTCTGTGATTACGTTAAAGTTTAAACTCTACAAAGACCCCGTTTTATGGAGCCCCAGGTTTTATGGATTTCTGAATATTGACAACTTTTCATGGATGGAGATACCTCCTACATCGGAGAGGGGTCTTATTTTCCGAACACGGTATTCGGAAAATAAGACCCCTCCTCGGTTCTCTGCTGATGGTGAAACAAAGTTAAGTTGTTAATCATGACTACTCAAAAGTATCGAGGTAGGAAAGAGTTCCTACATTTTAGATGAATATAAAATTACCACACAGACATTATCAGACAATTGATTTTTATTTTTTGTATCTTTATTTCATCACTAAGAGCATCAGACAATGTCCAGGCCCCATCCGAATTTCCAGTCTCCCAAAAATTAAGATCAATATCAGATGTCAGATCTTTTACATAAACTTAAACTTTGCAGAATTGCCGGTCATTTTCATAAATTTTCCGATATAAAGCTGCAAATTTCTCAAGCAAAGGTGAAACTCAAGAACCGGTTTAAGGTGTTCTGTCTTCAGTTGCTAAATTTGAACCATAATTTGGCTCACTTCTCTTCACCCCTGTTAAACAGTTGTTCCTCTTTTACCTAGTTTTTGGAGCATTCACACGAGCAGACGAGGAAATGATTTTCTTAGAACGAGGCCGCCGTGGGATCATACGTTGTCCCCCCATCACATCTCGCAAGTACACACCTGGAGACATTGA